TTTCTCCCCGCATACAGACAACTATGGACATACGTTCGATTGGAACAGTGTTGAAATACTGGATAGGGTGGAGCATAAAGAACACTGCAGAATTTTTAGAAGCTGGGTGCTCAGGTCAACGAGCTTCAACAAACATATCGACATTGACCCAATTTATCAACCAATCAGAAAAAATCATAGCCACTCATAGGGTCAAGAAACTGATCAAAATAAAGGTGCAAACAACGACAAGATTAAGGTCAATAACAACCAATGAGGATCGAGATTAACAGAACAAACTACAGATCAAACGTGGAGAGATTCGAATACTTCATTCCTATCCGAAGTTTTTGATGATGATGTTGTTCAGAAGAACAACGAAAGCTGCTCAACCGAAACATCCAGCTCAGAGAACGAAACTCTACCACAGCGAAGTCCTCTGAGTGCGTCCCGTGTAGCGCTCCACATGAGCTGTTGGGTTGGTAATACATACATGGAGAAACCCATATATTTATTTTTTTCACAAAATTAAACTAAACTTTCAACTAAAAACATTTATCTAACTCCATAGGAAGTTAACCTTAATCCCAATCTATGAAATACCCATGATAGCGTGTCTTACTCGACCTGATCAGCAGTTAGTCAAACTGAATGCAAGTGGGTGGTAGTATCCACTTCCAAAAACTTTATATGGGATGAAATTCGAACACTCAAACCATTTCTATAAATTAGGTTACAGCATAGTGATTTGTATAAACGATTCAACATAAGTACGCTATCTTTTGTTGGAAAGTAACTGAAGACAGTCAATAGGAGAGAGCAGTGTAAGTTTTCAAACCATCGACACATTCAATAAGCACATCAGTTAATAATGGTCTTTTGATGTGAATTGTTCACAATTGTCTCCCTTAACAATGTTATCAATATCCTATATGAAGATGTTTGACTGAAATCTGCTTACTTATTCCCTTAATAACTTTAATGTTTATCGAGAAACTCTAACTCTCATTTAAGAATTAATACTTTTAACGGATTGGTAATGCTGAAATAGATAGTATTGTAGGATCATTGGAAGCGATAATATAGTGGTTAAAGTATCCATCTACCGACCATTAGACCTTAAGTTTGAATCGCACTTCACCTTTCTAGGTATGTGCAACCAAATGATACTTAACTATGCCCAATAAGTAGTGTAGTCCGAAGCTGAGTAGATAAACCTATAATAGTAAACAACATATGGCGGAATATAGAACAGGTGGATGTTAGTGGACAGCAGAGCACAAGAGGTGCTATTCGTCTTCTCTGTGACTTGTAAGAGGGATGTGTCTATAATTATATTGATGCTTACATCTGTGCTCAAACCCAATATTCCTCAATTCAAACTCCAAACATCTTGTTAACTGGCTTAGAATTCAGATAGACACTAAACCTAAACAACGCGTACGAGACGTGTATCAATACTAGTAAGGTGTCAGACTATACCGCCATTGTTATTGAAGGTAATCAGAAAATTGAGATCTTAACCGTTTAGACAAAGACGGGAGTACATCTTAGAAATGCTTAGTTGCAGATGATAAAAATTTCATTAACTAAAGTGTTCAATAATCACCTTCCTCTTACACAACAGTAAGGATATTCCATATTCTGGTCGTCGCGTTTCCCTCTGGATATACTTCCAAAATTATAAAGCTATTAACTTAACACATATTCAGGATTATTCTTGTTTTCATGACATTGCATATAGGAAGCAAGCGATGCCATCTGATTGGTTGAACGGGGCTCAAACCTGAAGCTTACGGGTTGAAAGTTCAACGACTGAGGAAAGGTTATTAAAAGCCAAATAAATTACTAATGTAACAGCATTTCTTAAATAAATCGTAACGGTAACTAGTGAGCGCTGGAAAGGTGTTTGACTAGCAAGCAAATACGACCTTACACTGGATAGAATGTAGGGCATTGATGTCCAACAGGGGATGTCACATTTTTTAGATATTTATATAGCATCCCTTCGAACGGATTTGCTTGCATAATGAATAACTTCGGATAGACCTCCAGGCGAGGATGGATGACCAGAATTGGTTGATGTTCGACAATGGAGCACTTGATTAATTTGCATCCACCTTTAAATACCGTTGCTGTTTAGTGCTCTGTTATGCGCCTAAGAATTTGTTATGTGTGATCAATGCAACGAGCCCGTAGATACACCGGTGCCTCAAAGTGGGTGGCAGTTTCGCACATGATCTCTGCAGACAGCCTGCGAACATTGCCATGGCATCTCAATCAGTAGTCGTAATAGGATGATTCATTAATTATCAAAACTATTCTTAGGTCGGTAATTGGAAGTTTTCATTTCTACTAGCGATATATGGGTATTATTTTCATTATCTATGTTGAGACCAGTTTTATTGATATGCTACAATTCAGTATATCCCACCAGCCGATTACATTTACATTGGAGTCAGGAATAAACGGAGAATATTGGGGGTGCTCTGTCCTTCCATTGGAGTGTGTTGAAGTCAAGAAATACAATTAAACCATCTGGTGTGCATGCTAAGCTGACTATCCGCATACTCTTGATGTACTGATCAGAAGACCGAGAAGCTCTTTACGAAGATCCATTTATGGAAACCGACCAATAATTGGTAATGTAAGGACGTTGAGTTCGAGAGATACAACCAAAGAGATCATACGAAGTCTAGTGCCCAGCATATACCCGGTACAAGGACAAACTGGCGTTTTGAGACAACTCAATTAATATCTACCAGTTCACTTGCTCTTGTGGTGTGCTTTTTCCTAAAGAAAGATGAGGATTTTCGAGCATAATTACCGGGAGGTGAGCGTGAGTCTGTGACACTAGCACAACTATTCAAGCATACAACTCCTAAGGAGTGAAGCAATTGAGAGTGTTGATCGCTTCACTTATCTGTGGAATTTCATCAACGATGATGACTGACGAAATCTCAGCACGGATACAAAAGGCTCGATTGGCGTTCGCCAACCTGCGTCACTTACGGCGTAGGCGAGATATCTGTTTGCTAACCAGAGGACGAGCTTACTGCGCATCAGTTCGCTTCGTCCCACTTTATGGCTGTGAAACATGGTCAGTCAGAGTAGAAGATATTCGTGGGTCGCAGGTTTTCGGTCATAGATGTCTCCGAAGCATTGCTCGTATATCCCGGGACAGCCGAGTAAGCGACGCTGTCGTTAGTAAACAAGTACTAGGTAAGAATGTCAAATCGATAAATGAGGTACTGAATCTTCATCAGTTGAGGTGGACGCCGCATGTGTTACGTATGCCCAATCACCGACTGCCTCGACGAGCCACGCTTTGTGTAGGAGTTGGTTGGAAAAAAGCTAGGGTCGGCCAAATCAAAGCATGGCACAAACCCATGGGGTCACTGACCACTGGATTTAGCCATCTGATAAGTGTGGACTACCAGGGTGCGGTCCGTAAGACAGAGACATTAAACAACATGACTCGGAACCGTTTGCAAAGGCGTAGACGCACCCATTATGTTCTCTCAAATCCTAATCATGTGAATACGCCATCACCTTTATCTTTTTAGGTTAATTTCACTAGATTCTACTACTTGAATAATATTGTCGAACCCTAATCTCTAATTCCTGCTAATACTTCTACCACTATGAGATTTGAAGTGACAATTGCATCTCAATGCTAATCTGGTATGATGGCAACTTTGACTTATGTACCTACGTACGAAGTTCTATGTTAATGTTGACTTGACAATTCCTAAGGACTGGTCTGAATAATAAAGTAAAATCGGTATACTAGAGGTTAAATTTATGGCTAGCATCCTTTGAATGAGACAATTTAGAACTAAAGGCTACGAATTACGATCAGTTTTATTGTACATTAGTTGGTAGCACGAATGGAATTAATTCAAACAATCCCCGAGTTTAAACCATACTCCATTACAGTGAAACATACATATTTCTGGAAAAATTTGCAGCGCTATCGCATACATTTCCTCTTAATTTAGACGGGTGGAAAACACATCACAGACATTTTCAGTGGTAAAAAAAAACCAGAGAATCTAAGCATGATTACATTATATTTAAATGCAACACAGAAATCGGTTCAACTTTATTACAGAAGACAGAAATGGTATCGCAGTATAATCTTAGGTTATACGTCTTCTGCACCGAACAGATATAGAAGTTCAACTTGTTAGATCTATTAAGGATTCATGAACTAGGTTATGAAATGTAAACAAATAAGGATCCCAATTTCTCACTGGTCCAGTGTCTTAACAGCTGAGCAACAGGTTCAGAGAAATTTTGCAATAATGTTAGGCTGCTGACAATAAGTAAACATATATTCTAAGTGCTAAAGACTGTTAGGTACTCTGGCTTTGCTTAAAGTATTAGGTTACCACTTTCGTAGGCTGAAATTTCTGCGCAACGATGTTAATTGTGGTAGAATCCAGATGTAGGTAGTGCGGAACAGCAGTTCTGGTGCGCAAAACTCAGCATTATGGACTCATTAGCCACAGGGTCGCAAAGTTCGTGATCAATTATTAGATCGCTCGATGAACATCCTAAACTTCAACCCCTATATGAGGGAGTACGACAGACAATCACTCGTTATGGGTAGTTTGACCACTAAAATATCCGAGCTTTGCTGGTCACAATATTTTACTAGGACGTAAGTGCGTTAAAACTTAACTGTAATTCTTTCTAAAAATGAAGATCGATTCACCAACCTTAGCCTTTGTACACAGGTGAGGCAGAACTGACAATTGTCTCTACAAATGAAAAATGGGTTACCTGCCGAATGTTCATGATTCATAAGTTTTCATTAGATGTATACAAAAACCTACACTGGGGAACTATATGCAGAGTAAGGATACTTGGTTTTTGTAAAGCTTTCACTAGAAAGCAGATTTCGGTCTGCTCAAACTGATTACTTATTTTTCATTTTGACTGATATACTCGTTATCTTCACAAACTCCCCACCCCCAACGTTACTTTTGTATGTCATTAAATGGAAGAGAAGACGATTTTATTTATGGTAAACATTTTTCTATTTACAGTGTCGTGATTGGTAAAATGTAGCCTCCATACTGAAGTTTCAACAAGAATCGAATTGAAGGTATGAATCTAAATATTGAGGTTACAATTTAGAATAAAATAAATAACGTCTTAGAGTTTACGGATCATTTTGTAAATCACTATGAGTTTTCATGAGACAATAATAGACTAGTATACTGAAGAAAAAGAACTATAAAAGAAGAGCGTTAGTAAGTTTGAAAGAGAATGAACACATGCGCCCTAATATCATATATCCCTACTATTTACAACATATCCAGTTTGTTCTTACATAAAAAGTGGACAGCTTTTTAACGCTATCCATCGTTCTAAAATGACTATACTGACATCAAAGAAATCACATTCTATGAATCTAAGCATCGTATTCAACTTTTCGATTAACAGCTAGTTTTCTTGTGATTAATTTTTCAAGTAAAACAAATTGTGAATACTTTGGTTTAGAATAGTATGTGATGATCGTACATCTTTAGAAATAGTTTTTGAGAAAAGTACTGACAGTGTCAGAAATACTGCCGAGTACATGGAGTGTTGTATTTTATCAATAAGGAGCTAGATTGGCTGATCACTTACTTACTTACTGCTTGAAATTAATGCGTATTTTAACTGTTTGATAAAGTGGAAGACTTACAAATAACATAATCCTAGTTGGAAAGCATTCGAAACTTTGTATGAAACTGAAAATCACATTAGACGGGCTTAAAAATCCCAGAGTAAAATAGGAGTAATGTGAATCACATTCAGTGTGAATGTCGATCAATAAGCCCTACTTTTGCATTGATCTTAAGTTTGAATTCCATTTTGAATGTTTGCGAGGTTAAAAATTTGACAGGTATAAACGAGTATAGCATAACATAACATAAAGACCTATGTGGTTTTCACAAAAGATTAAACAAAATAAGAAAAATACTAGCTGAGAATATAAAAGTGTTTATGTATGCGAAATCGAAGTCAAGGAAAGTTAGAACAAACTGATCAGGTAGATTACTCATTTTTCATATAGCTGTTTTGCTGAAACTGATACGCAAATGAGAATTTTCTGTTAGCTGACAATTATGAAGGTCCTAAAAATGATTAGTAGTAAGTAAGCGTCTTTAAAAAAAAAATTGACTTACAATCAGAGCTTGGATAGCCATATCCACATTTTCCAATTGGATTAAGGCCATCTTTTTATCTTTCCTAAACAAAGAAAAATGATAATATCAAGAAGACAACTTACATCATAAACTTGAAGTCTGTAACATGATATCCTTTCGTTTCGAAGATCATTCTAACCTCTTCTTCTGTAATAGCAGAAGGTATATTACTTAAATGCAAAACATGATTAGGAGCATAAATGTTGGCGAAATTCTTAGAATTCGGCTTTCTAAAACGATGAAGTGGACTATTAGTATAGTCTTTAGTAAGTCCGACATCACTATCCTCTTTCGGCAACTGGACAATGTTAAAGCGTGAAACAGCTATTTTCAAGGGTTTTCCATATAGTGGTTGCCCGTTGAGATAATACAAAGCTACGAAGAAATTGATCGAATACAAAAACTAGTTAATGAAGAAAATACCTGTTAGAGCTTGTTGTGGATCTGAAAACTGCACAAGAGCAGTACTCTTTTTATTGAACATTATTTTAACTCGAGTTACATCACCATAAACACCTATGAAACAGATGAATCAGAAATAATTAGTAATGTTTGATAAACTGGAATCAATGAGTATTAAACAATGTGTCGACTGAATTGAAAGATAATAGCGAACTGTTGCACAGCTTATTTAAGCATGTTTTTTTTAAGGTGGAAACATTGGAAAATTGATTTTCTAAGAATAAATAAGTAAACCTACCGAAGAGTGTAAACAATGCATCTGGATATACTTTCTAGTTCAGAAAACAGTAGATAGATAAAGCCCAGTTATATATAAAATTGAAACATAAGTACGCGAAACATACGTACAAAGTGAGTTTGTATACACATGTGAAAATAAATAATGGAACAGACCGAAACGTGGAAAAAATGCATAAGTTTGTGTAGATACCAATGAAATATCGAATTGTTGATTTGTACATCGAAGATAAATTGTACCGTTTTTCACAAGTGGATTAAGCACCACATCACAATGAGATCGAATTGTCAGTCACATTTGGAATCAAATGATAGATTACGGAAAGGAAAAAGGAAAACAAAATAAACGCAATAAGTTAAAACAACTAAGAACAATAAGCTTTATCACAATGAAAAAAGCAATCACAAAGGATAGAAGAGTGAGTTTAAATTTTTATCAAATCATTTATAAGGAGAATTAAATGGAAAAAAGAAAATTGAGAAAGACTAAAAATCTAAGAAGAACAATGAATACGTACCTCCTCGTTGAGATTGGAGACTATCAACACAGTACTAGCTCCAGTTTGACCCAAATTAGGTGCAGATTGATTAATCAAGTTCGGCAAAAGTTGTGTTTGGTTTTGTACAGCTGGTAGAACTGTACGAGGACCTTGCAGCGTTGCAGCATTTAAAACAGCCCCTGGATTTGGGTTTATAGTAGTATTTCCACCCTGAGCAGTTAGTGCCATGAAGCTAGCAGTTGCGGCGGCTGCAGCAGGAGTCAGTGCAAGACCAGATTGTTGAGCAAGCAACGTTAACTGAATAGCGAGATCATTGATACCTGAGACTGCAGCTTGGGGGACAGTGGTGAAAGCTGCAGCCGGATTACCTAGCTGTATATTTTGGCCGATAGAAGGTTGAGGAATTGAATTGATAGTTGGATTATTCGTTGTTACAGTTACTCCACTTGGAAGTGCTTGCAAACTATTTAATTCATCATCAGTAAGAGGTGACACAGTATAATCGCGACACTTATCATTCTCACGACGGACTTCCAAAGGACCTCGTGTTTTCCAAAATTCCACTTGAAGAGAACAACAACCCGTATAAATATTCTGACCGTTTAGAAGCTAAAACATGGAATGTGATAGTAAGATTTTTAAAAAAAGAAATGACAGAGATGAAAATAACCTTTAAAATGGTAATGAAACAGTGGAAGATTAAGAAGGTTAAGTAATCCTCAACTAAGTTGTGTTGACGACCATTGATACACTGGCAACCGGCTTTAAACGGTAAGTAAAGATAAAAACTAGTTATGATTGTCAATGCAGATAAAAGTAATTTTTCAATTATGTCTGAATTTTGTCATTGGTAAAGTGATAATGATATTCTAGTGTAAGAAGACTACAGAAGTTAAGTAAAGATGAAATCTTATTTCAACATATTTAAAGAGTGATATTACAATTAACAATCGTAATAATGATAATAGTGATGACGAAAATGAGGAGAGAAATGAACTTTCTGAGTATAACAGTGGGGTAAGCTACTTGAGACGAACCGTTACTAAAGTCGACCAAGTGTTAGGAAATGAAATAATGGATTTTTTTATCTAGTCAGAAAGAAGACTGAGCAAAGGCTCATGAAGAAACTTAAAAGACAATTTAGTAATTGGATTTACAAGAAAACATTGATAAGATTCTGATTAGTAGTGATCCATAAAGCCTTTACGATAAAGAAACACGTTAAGCAATTAAATAACTTCTGGAAACAAACGGACTGAAGCATAGACTGTTCGTTAAAATGCACAGAAGTGAAATAAGTTTTACTTACCAACATGGCAACGAATGCTTGAATATGATTTTGGAATTCCAACAAGCATCGATACTGGTTATTACGTAAAAAAATTAAGACACGTAAAATAGTTCCAAACCGATGAAAAATCTACAAAGTTGTATTTGTGAATAGGAAAGTTACCTTATACAAAATAACATGGTTAATTTGTTGTCCCATGATATTGTCGATGACAACATGTAATACAGTGTTAGGAACACCTGTTTGAGCACCTGGAAGATCTTGCTGAACGACACGGTTGGCATTTTTAATGGCATTAACTATTGCATCGTTTTCTGAAATTAATTCGAGATGGGAATGGGTAGAAAATTGAAAGATTAGGTGTTTCCCATGCAAAGTCACGGGATACTTCAAATAATGAGCAACTAGTTGCACAGCTTCGTCCAAAACATGCATCTCAATGAGTGCTTGATTATTTCTTTTAGAAAGGACCATGTTTTTAAGCAAGCCAAACGGTATGGCGAAAAGGGCAATCTCATTTTCGGTCGCATCTGCTGGCATATTTCGTATATGCACAACACGTGAAGGTGATGCTTCTAACCGGTCGACACGCGACTACAAAAGTGAGTAGCAGTTTAAAAGTTTACCTTTTTAATATCGACTGTTTCGAGGTCCATTGAGAGGTGACCGTTGCGATGTAAATTTATGTTTGGTACGCTTAAGTCTCGCTAGAGGAAGAAAGAAATAATAAGTGTCGTCAACATACCAGCAAACAAAATGTTAGATAAATCACGTGGCCATACCTAACACAAGGAATGAAAATGCATAAACAATAAGGATAATATATCGCCTTTATTAGCTAGTTGACTTAGAGGTTTAATGACCAAATTACGTACCGAGGAAAGAACGATCAGTTTTCATTGCATATTTACTAATCAAGTGTTTCTGGGAACTTAACACTATACGCGAATTATTTCATGCTCAAGTAGTTCAGTTAATCTAGCATAACTACAGATTAAACATATCTCAACCAAATAACTTAGTGATTAGTCTCAAACTTTCCTAAGATAAACAAATGAATCTTACGATCTTAAGAAGTTGCGGCACTGAATATACTACACGTCAAACTTATTTGGGGACCTTTAAGTGTAGACTGGGTAGTGATATCATTTCAGATTTTTAAAATGAACGGCTGCAGAGTAACTTTAGTTCATACGAGATATGTGAATTATAAACGCGTTGGCTTCCCGTCGACTCACTACACGCAGTACAAGTATCTTTGATATCTTGCCCACGGACTGTTTTTAAGGAGCAGTAGTCTTACATGATACAGAGAGAACTGTGGATAATCACGTTTGTAAGATTTCCACACGCTACAGCCAAAACAGTGCTAGGCCGACATAAGTAATAACGGTAGTTGGATTGTCTGATAAAGAGAAATTAACGCTACAAATGCAGCATCAAATAACCAGCGTGGTTTCAGCATTTATTGACAGACCTAGATTGATAAGGTATGAACCGCGACATTAGAAACAAGAAGTTGATTATTTCATTAGGATTCAAGTATCACTGATTACAAGATGGAAAACCTTGTTTATGGTAATTTTAGGACTGTAGGACCATCCCTTCGGTCTGCAGACTCTAGTTTTACCATAATATTCATTAAGAACTAGTGACAAGAACAGAAAGCACATTTCACAACAACTACAGAAAATAATACCAGCTAGTTAGTTTCTTGAATACAATCGATCTTGCCATCCAAAAAACAAATGAATTATATCCCAGTAAGCGGAGAAAAATCACGTAGAACTTACTTTGCGTTTGTTAGGCTAAAAAGAACAAACAAAAGCAATTTAGTACATGGGAAACACTGGGCATCTTACTGCTAAGCAGAAGACAAACACCTACCATAGATGACGGGCATAGAACACCAAACATGGCGTCTTGCCGCCCTGTCCTAGCTATCACGAACCATCTGCAAAAACAAACTATAGTAAGCCATTAGTATTTCTTTCCCTTTTCCTTCCAATATCTATGTATAAAAACATTTTCCTTGTTGTAGTTTTTGTTTTAATGAAGATGCACTAATAAAAGGTCAGTTTTTAATTATCAAGTCAACTCGACAGTGCTAACTTAGGTCTGCAAACCGATCAGCTGAATGAAAGCGAATTCTCTGAAATTAACTGTTGATATAATTGAGCCAGTTGCATGATTTTATGAAATTTCATCTCAAGAACAAGTTTTACAAAAGATTTTTAAATGACTGGCGAATGAGAGTTTACTTGTATGACTATTTCCGAAACTCGATAGCATTACGAAGTGGTTCGGATATTCAGTTTGACTAGGCCACTGGATAATATATGACTTCCAAGTTATTATCTATGTAGTCTGTTCACCGAAAATCTCAACTAAGCTGTAATGTAATCCGGTTCCAGATAGAATTATTTTCTCTTGATACAGAATGTATTAGATCCCTTAAGCATATATGTTTTCGTGAGATTATTACGGGCAGCAACCACTGACATTTTAAACTGGACATGGGATTTTTCTGATGAGCCCTCCTCTCACAAGAACAAAATAACAGGGAAATGATGGAATCTAGTCACTATTGCTTCAGTAAGATCCGCTACCAGTTGCTAATAAGTATGTAAACTGTTTAGTTGAGGTGCCACGATAAACAGTTTCGTACATCAATAAAGAACGACATCAATAAATACAAGAAAGGTTTATATGTTACGAATTTTTTGAGGTGGTTTTGGTATCGTAATGACAGCTAGTACCCAATATGCCTAATTGCTATAACAGTATTAAACCCCGATGCTGGAAGCCCCAGCTGATACGACCAGCTGACTGGCGGTGTTGTTTACGAATACCGAAGCAGATACAACCGTCAGAATGTTGAAAGCAAGCCAGAAGTAGATCAGCCAATAAAGTATTTTCCTAATAACTGGTAATTATCTATCACCTTACTAGCCTTTAGTATCCAATATCTGACTTCTCTGTAGACATCTGTAGACATCCTCAGGCGCTTACATGGATCTGGAGACACTTGTCAAAGTCATCAGAAACAAGCATTTGAGTTGATGTTTCTATCCAAACCTTGTTTTTATTGTAGGAAGGCTTTAGCATATTAGAGCACGAAGTTGTGGAATGAAGATAATATCTGAAATAGCGGGTATTCTACTGCCACATCGATGCATAGGCATTTGAGACAGGACGAATAATTTGGAATCTTTTGAAGTCATTTTGAATTCGTTTCAGCACTATGCATATCAAACGAGTGTATTGGTTCCATTTTTATGATGTGAACGCGATTGGCTCAATATAAACATTTATCATTATAACCAATTATACCAGTGATTGTTTTGCGACACCTTTTTGTTTATGTTTACCATAAAACCACTCTTTTGACTGTTTGTGACCTTAAGCTTGCTCACATACTCATGGAAGTCTCGCCAGTATAACTTGGCACGGTCTCGGTATTATGTCGATACCACGAGATCACCAACAAACGTACACTAATTACAATCCTCAACTTTCCTTCTGATTTAGGTTCTACGGAGGGATTTAACCTGGTGATTGGTAATTAATTGGCCTGTAGTGATGATCATAGTCGATTGCGGCTCGCGTCATTACACACATTCAGTTCAGTCTTCAATTCATTTGATTGCAACGCATTCGCGGGTTGGTCTGAGTTCCGACGACAGTATGTATATGAATCAATTATAAAATAGTCTTATACTAGTTTCGTTCGTTCACGTTTTCTGTCCTCATTCTGTTTTCTTTCGATGTTTTACATGTTTCTTGAAGCCTTGTATGAACGCAACAGTTTTCATATTTTGTGTTTTTAGCTTCTGCTTGGTCGCTGATAAATTATTGTTGACATTAGAAGGCTCCTGGCTGCTATTATTTGTATTTTATTGAGGCAAGCTTTGTTATTTCCAGATCTATATACTCTATAATCGCTTCAAATACCTTGTTGAAGTACGTAACCTATTTGTGCCTGTTCCTGAATTGGAAAACATTCTGTAGAATCCTTTTTGAATGTTTTGTTTTTTGGAAAATCCCTCCATGTTTACATATTTTTGTTATGACATGACGGACTTTTTCTGTTGACATTTTTGGTATTTTATTTGATTCCAATTTGAGATTTTATCATTGTATATTGTTATTATTCCTATATTTTGTACTTATATTGAAGTTTTTGTGTTTGCTTCTGATCTGTATATATGTTGTTTAAATTTGATCTTTAATATGGCTACAGCCATATTTGGATTGATACAGTAGCTGTTGGACTTAAAGTCACTTATTTATCGTTGTTTCGGATACTCTTCGGAGTAATTGTAACCTGGAAGGTGTATTAATTCCAGGTACTGCTTTGTATTTCCATGTTTTTACTAATAAAGACCGTTTTCTCCTAGAATTTTTGCTTTTTCTGGACCTTGAATTGGGAGATACACGTTCGGAGTGCACTTATTGGAACCCATTGGAACTGCCACCGTAGAAATCCAATTACACGTTCCACTCAACAATTAGTTGTTTTTGGATCTGAAGTTCAGGTGTATTTCAACGGTTTAGTGAGAAGTTGCAATAGGTTTAACACTGGTGTTATTGCAGAACAAATGTTGTTTAACTAGAGTAGTAATCACTGATTCCTAACATAATTTGATTTTTGCTTATCAGTGTACATGCTAGCTAATTCAACTGCTTGCGTGTATATACAGCAGCACTTATGCTGAAGTCCTTACTCAGTTAATTTATTTTTAGCCATCGAGTATAAAAGTGATGAATAGGACATTACTCTTATTCCTTCAGCCATATTTTGTGAAAAGGCCCCAATTTACCCCACTCCTCCCCTGTACAAAACGACATTATCATCCAGAGAGATTTAGGTTTTCATGAAAACGTCATTCTTTCTGAGCTGGAGCAACTTGTTTGGTATTAGAGGTCCAGAGTCTGTGACTCTGTCAGTCACCGTTTGGAACTGTCTATCGTTTGGAATTTTCTTTGCAGTGCTCTATGGCGTTTAAATCGTTTCATTCATTGTGCCTAACTGAGCTTGAATGCTACTTCATGACTCCTGCCAGAGTGTTCATCCTCACAGAACTACACTTTCATCCAACACCTATAATTAATGGTTTTTTATGTATCCATCACTTAAGCAACGCAGACTAACTACATACTAATTTATTCCTGTCATTAAGTATTAACTTGCTGGTTTCTCAACGACTTATGGATCGTGAAAAACGAACGAAAATGTCATTCATCAAGATATTGGAGATTTCTAGACAAAGTATCCTAGTTTTAAGACAGATATAGAGATCCCACGGATATTAGGAACTTGACAATGCTTTCAACTGCATCACTGTGATTATCGAGGGTCTCAAACGCGTTTTACTACAGTCCAGGAAGAAATGAGTTCAAGTACCAGTTGGATGGAGTGTGTCTGATAAGACCAATGAAGTTATCAACAATGTCAAAGACTTGTAAAACTATTTGTTTTCGGGATTTAGCTACCATTATGAGCAAAAAACTGATCTCCTGAGTGTTCGCACATTTCATTGGCTTAACGGATGAACCTAAATCTACTCTAACGTTTGATAACCTCATACTACCCCTACCTCAGAATAACTGCCATACCAGGTGTAAATGAATTTCTACAGTGGCCGTTCCAATGGGTTCCAATAGAGGCACTCCTGTACGCTTTTCCCAGTTCCGGGTCCCAACCAATTCAAAAAGGACAAAATTCTAGGAGAAAGCGTCTTTATTAATTAAAAAATGGAAATACAAAGCATTACCTGGAAATAGTGCTTCTTCCAGGGTACAATTACTCCGAAGAGTATCAGACACAGTGACGGATAAGTGACGCTAAGTCCAGCGGCCACTGCATCAATCCAAAAATGTGGCGGTAGCCATATTATATCAAATTTAAACAACATATGTACAGTTCAGAAACAAACACAAAAACTTCAATATAAGTACAAAATATAGAAGGAATAACAATATACAATGATAAAATCTCAAATTGGAATCAAATAAAATACCAAAAATGTCAAGAGAAAAAGTCCATCATGTCATAGCAAAAATATGTAAACATGGAGGGATTTTCCAAAACACAAAACATTCAAAAAGAATTCTACACCGGCCCGCAAAATCCCTCCATGCAAAAAGAGCAAGCGTTAATGACACTTTATTTAGGGTTCCCAGTTATCCCCTAATCCACACCGGAATAACGTGTAGGACTTACAGCAGTACGCCTACCCGCCATCCAACATGGATATGACCTATCGTGTTAACTAGGTACCTATACTTTCCCATCAGGCCCTTGATTCCCCTATCTATCGTGGAATGACCTAACGGTAGTATAAACCTTACCCAATTAACCCATACGAACATGAACAACACGTCGTAAAACTGGTCATATCCTATCCGAAGACTACATTCTCTATCATGGGGACGAGTCGCCAATCCACCACCACTTGCTCCGATCAGCAGATACCATGAAGTCCGTGATGCTAACTTATCAACAGAAGTTTTTGACCCATAAATAATATGCAAGGGTGGGATCTCCAATTTTGACATTTCATCGTCTCCAGAAGACTTTAAGTAGCATGACGTAGGATCAATATTTATCCTTCCATCTCCTGATACAGAGGAGGTTTGATCAGTATTCGTCATCGTCAGTAACTCATTTGTCACATCAATGACATCCAGATTATTATCAACGTCTAAATGATTCCGTTCTGTCAGACAAGTCGCGTCGATTCGGTCTGCATTAGCATCCGTAGAGTGAAACTCTTCCATTGTTGTATAACTCATCTCACTAAATGAAAGAACAGCATTAGCGTCACAATCCAAAGCTGATATACTCACTTGTTGTTCTTCATGTTCTGTTTCAGAGACACAAGACTTATGCTCATCAATAGCATCGTCATCACACAACACTGTAGACTGGCCGTTACCATCAGA